TTGTTTCCTAAAATATTTTGATTAAAAGAAATATGTAAAAGTGGAGAACGCTGTGCCGGTCACGCTTAATCACGTGAGTCTAAGTATATTTGGTATAATTTATAGGTGCTTCCATAGAAACTAAATAAAATAAATTTACTTGGAGATCTGACAACTTTTTGTAGTGAAAAAATTGCGTCGCGAGATTTGGAAATTTTTTACATTCTATGTTCTTGATGGGATTGCTAATTGCTATATCCATTGAAAAAAGAAACGGCTATTACTAGGTAATAGTCAAAAAAATAAATTTGCCGTGAAAGTGCATATCGTAGGGCACAAACTAAACCAGTTGTCGTGGAAAAACGGTAAATTAAAAGACTAAAGTCGACAAGGCGGCAGCGTTTCGAGCGGTGTTTTCGAGTCGATTGGCGACATTTGTTCTTAAGGGCCAGTCATTTGTTTCACTACCGTTTTATATAGCTTAATATAAGAGGCGGAGAGAGTAAACGTTAAACGAGGGGGCCGATTAAGGGGGGAAATATAGATGTCTGACGGCGGAGAATAGTTTGCGAGATTTTAGACGTGCCTTTCGGCCCTTTGTCGAATTCCTTTTGCCCTTTCTGCGTCGCTTTCGCGTTTATTTACTCGTATTTTTGTATTTTGGCTTTATTTGTATTTATAGGTACGTAAAAATTCACAATATACCAAAATACTTCATGTATTTTCTAGCTTCAACTAAATCAAGATAGATTTAAAGTTGCTTTAATTTTTTTACGTAATTTATATAGATTCCTGTAGCTACATTATTTGTTTCTTTAGCCCCATCTGTCTATTATACGAGGTAAAACAAAATATTATAAGATGATATTCTTTCAGCCAATGTTTGAAACACCCTATATATATATGCAAAATATCAACAGTTGATATATGGTATGTAATTCTATTCAGAGTGTCATTTTCTATCTAATAAAGTAGAAATATACCGAGGGTGCCGTTTAAAAATCTAAAGTTGTAGTCATTTCCTGTGAAACAGGAAGTGACCAAAAACAATTGAATACGTCAATTAACCCTAATTTATGTCCTATACTAACATACCAAATCTGGATTTTTTATCTGATAAAATAAAAAAGTTATAGGCATGAGCCAATTTTGAGACGCATCTGGTATATTTAGATTAATATTTACATTAATAATACATATTACTATTCAATTTCTGTCATTTAGCTAATATTTTTCTAGAATTGTTAACAGGGGTTCTACTAAATTAATTAAATTTTTATTACTAATAATTATTGCCTGTTATTCAAAAACATTAATATATTCAGATTAAATTTGAATAATTCAAATGGGCATAAATATTATTGCTTTCCTGCTTTCATTATACAAGTTTTTCATATCCTATTAAATACTGATATATGTAATCATCTCACCGCACTTTTAATCATTTCTTTTAACATCTTTTTTTTATTATATGCTATCTGAAAAAGGAAACAAGAGTTTTAATCTACGGAAAAAATAGGGTCAACCGAGGGGTAAACCGCAGAGGGAAAAGTGTACACCGTAATTCCTTTTACTCAAATAATTCCTCAGAATTCCTCGTAATTCCTTCGGAATTCCTTGGAATTCCTGGTCTTCAAGGTCAAGGTCAATAATTCAAGGTCTTCCTTGGAATTCCTTGGTACGAACTCGGTAACTCTGTCAGTCTGAACCAGCGTTGCCACCTCGGTTTCGCAGTTCCGCTATGAATTTTCAGGTAATTTTTATAAATGTCTAATGTCTCTATAAGTACTAGATCTTACAATAAAAAGTACTATTACGAGATTTACGTTTTTTTAGTTAAATTTGTAATCAATAGGGGATCATGAGGTGAAAATACTGTTCCTCATGTCGGCACTTACTTACAAAATTAATTTTTCGGGATTTTTGAAAAACGATAGGTACCAGTTATACTCGTATCTGTAGGTATGAAAATTAATAAACTCTCAGCACTGTCAATACGATCACCAGTAATTCCATAAGATTATTTACGGTATCATTGATGATAGTAAAATCGCCTGCAAAATTTTTCTTTAAATTTAGTAATTACCTATTATAGTATTCAAGCGGCTTCTACTAATGTTCGTTAATTTTTTATAAAGTTGTTTGTACCCTCTTAATTCCTAGAATTCTAAGAATTCTGAAATTTTACGGAAATACTGATTCCTAGTAATTCCCTATGGAATTATATGTAATCATCTCACCGCACTTTTAATCATTTCTTTTAACATCTTTTTTTTTATTATATGCTATCTGAAAAAGGAAACAAGAGTTTTAATCTATGGAAAAAATAGGGTCAACCAAATAAATATTTATGTAATATTATAATAGTCCAGGAGGCCGTTTTTTTTGTACTTATTTTCTCAGTGGGTGTATCCCATATATAAAACAATATTTTTTTCCATAGCGAGTTACGTTTTAAAAATATTCAAAAATTATTATTTCAAGGAATTTATTACGTAGTAGAGTAGAAAAAATATTGTGCTGGGTTGGCGTTGGTTTCTATGTAATTCGACAAATAAATAAAGCTGTCTCTTTAGCTGTCAGTTTTGAGTCAATATTTTTTAATTCTCTTTCGTGTCGATTGCTGATTGAATCGGAGCCGGAAATGGCTCGAAACGAAATAAGTAAATTACCAACAGATATTCAGGCTGAGGCGACACAAACGCCTTATCCAAACTACTTCCATTTAAATCCCGAATAAAAGGAATACAAAAATTATCAAAAATGGAAGAAATTCAAAAACGTGCGAGAAGAAATAAAGTTTTTAACCTATCCTCGCTGTTAAAGTATCATTTAATCTACCCTTGTGGTTAAAGTACTGTTTTATCTACTATTTTTGATACATGTAAGGCAATTTTAACAGTTGCTATGGAAAAAAAAACTAAAAAGTCCATTTATTTTCCCAGTTATAAACATTTGACATTTTTTATTAAAGTGAATCATTTAGTAATGGAAATAAGATAGGCACATCCCAAGTGAAGGAAAGTTAGTCTGGGTGAAAATTTGCCGATGCAAAAATTTGACAGATCTATGAAATCCGCAGCCCTTATTTTCCCATGCTTGAAATTTAACGTATCATTTCATACTATGGCTTATTTACGAAATTGGCAAATTAGTCTGGCAGCATCTCGAAAATTGCAAAATTACAAAATATTTGCTCTTATTTTCCCAGATTTGACAATTTGTCACATGAAAAATAATACTATAATTTCACAAAAAATACACGTCTGGTTATCATTTACAATCACGAAAGCCCTGCCAGACTCACAAGGGAGGTAGTTAAATGAAGAGAGGAAGCGGCACGTGCGTATGAATTTAGCTCTCCTCACGAGCCTTGGACGAGTCTGACAAGGCTTTCGGGATATTCCACATTAGCCAGACTACTATATTTGCAGCTGTAATCTATGTATACTAATAATATATAAAATCCTTAAGTGACTGACTCACTGATTAATCACGATCCTGCTCAAACCACTCAACGTAAGAAGCTCAATTTTGGCATACAGGTTGATTCTAGGGTGTAGAGGTTCGATAAGAAGGGATTTTTCGAAATTCCAGTTCTAAGGGGGTGAAACCACCCCTCAAATATTACAATATTTTTTAATTAAAAAACGGTCAAGTTTTCGAAAAAACGCTTAAACACGAATATTTTATTTTGTGTTGTTTACATATTTAAAGATTTTTTAAAAATGTATACAGGGTGTTTCGAAAAATCTGGTCATTGATTAATCACGATTATGCTTAAAGCGCTTGACGTAAAAAGCTGATTTTTGGAAAACGGATTGACTTTAGGGTGTAAAGGTTCGATAAGAAGGGATTTTTCGAAACTCGAATTCTAAGGGGGTGCAACCACCCCTCAAATAGTAGAATATTTTTTATTTAAAAACCGTTGAGTTTTTTGGAAAAACTCTTAAACACGTGTATTTTATTTTGTTGTTTTACATATTATAACTTTTTTAAAAAAATTATACAGGGCGTTTCAGAAAATATGACCATCGAGTAATCACGATTCTGCTTAAACTGCTTGACGTTTAAAGCTGATTTTTGGCAAACGGATTGACTGTGGGGTGTAAAGGTTCGATAAGGAGGGGTTTCTCAAATCTCAAAATCCAAGAGGGTGAAAACGCCCCTCAAATATTACCATATTTGTTATTTAAAAAACGGTTAGTCTTTCGGGAAAACGCTTGGACACGCATAATTTATTTTGTTTTTTTACATATTTTGAAATTTTTTAAAAAATCATACAGGGTGTTCCAAAAAATTGGGTAATTGATTAACCACTATTCTGCTTAAACTGCTTGACGTAAAAAGCTTATTTCTAGCAAACGGATTTTTCGAAATTCCAACGAGATGAAACTACCCCTCACATATTACCAAATTATATAATAATATCGTCATATTGTTTTTTTCTCATGCTGACATAAATGTGAGAAAATTTGATCCAGTTTGTATGTTAATGGAAATTCTTGCTTTGCTTTATCATCACCATTACAAATGATTAATTCGACGCGAACGAAGTGGCGGGTACACGCTAGTTATAATATAAATTCATCTGACAATTTTTTTTTTCAAAAAATTCCAAATTTTCAAAATTTTTAAAAAAAATTGCAAATTAAAGAAAAAATTGCAAATAAAAATCTCTATAATGGTGTTTCAGGGGTCGAAATATACTACACCTAAAAATATTTGAACGTAAGACTCACCCTGTATAAGGAAAATATAAGTAGCTAATATTTTTACAATTATTTACAATTTTTGTGTTTTCTTAAGCTCGAAAAGAAAATGAAAAAACATTTTTAATTATGGTTAATTTTAAAGTAAACGATAATGACCTCGGTATAAACAGTGGGGGCGTGTATTCATTTGCATAGAACGCCGATAAATGTCTTTTAATTACCCAGCCAGTCGGAACAGCTACAAATTTTCACGACGGAGTTTATGGTTAATATAATACTCGGAAAAAAGGGAGTTTGAATACTTACAAACATTGTGGAGCTAAGCAGCAGGGTGGGAAGGTCGGGCTGAAACAGAAAAATTACGTTAATTAAATAGAGGTGTTTGTGGAATATACAGAATTGTTTACGAGTTGATAAGTTTAATCAAAAAAATTATACAGGGTTTTACCTAAGTACAAAGAAAAAACACTACCTTATCTACAAAGATAATATCATTACGCAAACGACCCAAGAACCATTTGGACGTTATCTAACATCGGGTATAATATGTCGTAATACGTCGGGTATAACAAGACCGACGTCGCGTTCAATAAACACGACGTCGGGTACCAACGTCAGTTCGACCGCCTGACGACCCTTATTTGCTCCTAAATGGGGAATACAAATTCGGGTCGCCTCGACGTCGCGTCGGTATCTGACCTAATAGGGAATGTTATTCTACCAATTACCAGCGTCATATTACGTTGGATTTCAGTTACTTAAAATTCGTCGCTAAGCACTTACGTTACGTTTGGTTTCAAATTCGCTACCAAAGAATACATAAAAACCTAACCAAACTACCTAATTACAAATGGATTCATAATCACTCCTCGAATAAGTGCCTACGTAATTTCATATTATAATAATTCTGAATCATTAATCTAGACATCAGTTTTGTCAAAGGAAGTCACTTTTTTGATATATCTGATTAAAATACTCCGAAAAACAACGAGCGCCTTCAAAATTAGGTAGATTTATGAAATAAAAATATTTATAAAAAAGTAACTCACAAAATATTTTTTTTCTTTTCTAGCTGGTTTAATCATAAAACTGTAATGTGGTTCCCCCCAAACTCAACCTTATCAATATTATTCTAGTAGAAATCGGAATGTGAATATAAATTTTAAAAACAAAAAACAATTTTAAAATGGGTGACAATCGGATACTTGTTAAGAATGGCGGATTTCTGTGTCCGACTTAATATGAACTAACAATATACCAATTCCGACCGGGTCTCCAACATTAGTCGTCTCACACGACTGAAGTCATCAAGATCGTTGGATTTACCGACTCGGATCCAACGACGTCGCTTTTAATAGGAAAGCGACGTCACCGGTCGTATCACCAGCACCCGACCTAAATTTGCACAAAGTCTGACGTCGCTTCAGGTCAGATTTAGTTCGAAGTCAGATAGATGCTACTTGGGGATACACTACTTTCCCCATTCCTCGACTATATCAGTGCTTGAATCGACATATATCACCGATTCGGAATATACACTATCACTGTCTCAACTATAAGAATTCAATGGTTTCCACAATAATTGGTACATCATTTAATGATAACATTAATTGGATTTCAATAGGAGTGTATTTTTGTTGCAAATATATGATATTGAACGAACTTAACTTTATTTGATTTTTTGTTCTTGAAGGGAACTTTTATTGCTTTTTTTATTTGTTCCTTTTATTGTTGAAGGGATTTTACTTTCATGTTTAATTTAATATATCACTATATTTCATTTCATATATTTTTATTATTGTTTGAATAAAGTGTTACATTTGATATAATAATAAATGAACTTATATTTTCTTCTTCCTTCTTATTAAACTAAAGTTTGCCCAAGACCACCTAGGCACTAAACAACCATAAAATAATATCACAGTTTGGACTACTATAATTGCTAGTTCAAATTTTTTCTTTTTTCAGTGTGTTTTCCCAGTCATATTCGACCTCTGAGTGGTGCAAGTCTTGACAAAACAGCAATTTACAATGTTAATTTACTGTCTAAAATAAAGAGAGAAAAAAGATTCTGATTTAATAAATACTAAAAATAATTAACTATAATATATATGTAGGTATTCCTGTGTAAATTTGAATTAGTTTACCTCCGAGCTCTCCAATATAGTAAGTATGTATTCTCGTATAGTGTCTCTAGTAGGCACTTCATTAGTATTTTCAATTTCAATCATCAAAACAACACAAAAACCCACCAAAAAGAATAAGTAAAATATATTTTTAGAAGGCTTCCTGCCAATATACAATACCAGCAAACATGTGATTCTCCCATTTTATCCAAGAAGCATCACCACAAGTATAGTATAGTTGTATAAACAATACAAGCGTTGCGTTGGGCGAACAATAGCATATCATTGAACAAAATTTACTGCGTTCGGTGTAAACCTGCGTTATATTTTACACGACAGGTAAATGATTCGTTGTAAGGTAAAATATTTGCTAAACTATATGTCTTATCGTTGTAATTTAAGCAAAGCTTTGGTAGAAAAAAAGCATCTCTACTTGCAACAATAATATTAAAATATCCCTGCAAAATATGTAATATTATCTTTAACTATTAGTATTAATTAGAGGGATCAGTTTACCGTAAATGAATGTTTTTATTCTGTTTTGGTCTAAATCGAATAATAAAATATTGTCAGTTTTAACAATATGTCTATATTTAAACTAGAATGATTGTTATATTTCTGTTAACTGTACTATGCTTGTATGAATGGGTTTACTCTCAATAATAAGACTATTGTTGAAAATAATAATAATAATAGCTCCCGTATATAGCGTTCAACGCCTTGGGAGTAGCAAGGTACAGCTTGCCATACTAGAGCCGTTTGGTATACAAGGAAGGTAATGTGGCTAGCACTACGCTTCAACCGCCTATTATTACCTCAGGATTGTGAATTCCAAGGACTCATTTAAGGCTGAGTCGACCTAGGTACCCAAACTATTTTTATTTTAATAAAGATAGTCGGCTGATGCAATGCCGGGTGTGGGAATCGAACCCACTACCTTGAGATTGGTAGACGAGAGCCTGAACCTCGACGCCACCGGGCACCTTGTTGAAAATAACTTGTTGCCTTGTTGAAAATAACTTTTAGTTTTTTTCTGTGTAGCTAGATCGTTTGCCTGTTCATTTCCTTCTATCCCTTGGTGGGCTGGTACCCGGAGTAGGAGGACTCTATTTCCTTTGCCTAATTTGTTCAGCTTCTCTAGGCATTCTTTAACAAACTTCGAATTGATAGTTAATGAGTTGATCGTTCTTAAAACTGCTTGACCATGGGATAAAATGGCTATTTCTTTTTTCCGACAGTTCCTATCTAAGATAGGAGCGTTCCTATCTAAGATAGCATCTTTTGATAGCGTAAATTTGTGCCCATTGGTTCGAAGAAATTGGTTTATGGCCTAAATATTCCTATCCCTGGTTTGGTTTTGGAAGCATCATTTTGGAAGAATACTACGTTATAGTATGGTCTTTTACCTCCCGAGGTAACGTTTCTCTCTTCCAATGATTTTATAACTCAATACTACAGTGAGCTGTTTCTCAAAGTTGCATATTCTTGGAATGCCATCCGTCAGTGATACATCTTCCCGAAAGATTGTGTTCAAAATTTCCAAATTAAACACAAAATATAAGTCAAAGAAAATATTTTAGTTCATAAATTACTCTATTATGCACCGCCTAACTAACGTAACTTTTTGGAATAATAGTTATATCAATTAATAGAGATCAATCTCTTAAAAAATTGTTTAAAATATAATCCCTAATTCATAATTCACGAGATTCGTTATCAAATCCTCAATTAAGCAGATGATTTTCACTCTCTCTGTCTTTCTTTCCAGGAGTAGGAAAAATTTCTAAAGAGGTTTTAGGGTTTTCTCGATGAAAATCCGGAGAAATCTTTATATTGTCGGTGTCTTAGCGGAAGCAGATTAGGGATTAGGCCCTCGCCAGCGGGGTTGGGTCCAAACCGAACGATTTAACTGAAAAATTTACGTCATTGAATAGAGTAATCCCGTCCCTGATGGGAAATTACATCTTGATAATGAGGTTTAGATTGTTTTTTTAATTATATTGTTCAAACCTGTTAATTGGCAAATAAAAATAATTCTATTTGGTTTTAAAGGGGTTGTTATCGTTATAAAAAAATATTTATCAAAGTAATATGAACCAAATGAATACAGGGCGTTTCTAAGCAATCCTAGCTACGAGGTGATTCGAAAGTAAAATGGTATTATAAGTTAACGTCTATTTTTCGCTGTTCTGGCTAGTATAGACGGGTCCTGCTTTCTTGACAAGGGTCTAAATATTTGAATAAAATGATTAAGGGAAGGAGCATATCAAAAACTTAGATGTAGCATTATGGGAGACATGGATGGAGCATTAATATGGCTGACTTACATTCGGGTTTATCAGGACTGTTCTTATTTTATATAAAACGTGTGAAATATAATGTAGGCTAGACTTATTAATTTGTTGGTTTTGTTTTACGTCATTGATAAGTGTTATTAGTTATTAAAATTGTTAAAATATATATTTCTCTTAAAAATAGATACTGTTTAATAATTAATTATTTAATAACAGAAATACCAGAGATACGCTACTGAAATACGTAAGTCAATTTGATTGTATCTAGAGGTAGTGAAATAAAAGCAAAAATGCATGAAAAATATACAGGGTGGTCTGAACTGTATTCCGAAAACTTCGGCAGCATATTCTGCAAATAAAAATAAGTAAAAAAGTTTGGATAAATGTATGTCCTGAAATGGGGGCTTATATAGTTTCGGAGATACAAAGAGTTGCAGTTTCATTTTCATTTCGATTTTTTTCTAATAATTTCTGAAAAAACGTCAATATTCTGATGAAACTTGGTGTCAGGGAGTTCTTTGTCATGAGAAATTTGATTTTGATGTCAATATGACTCCTACTTGTAGAGGGCGCCACCTACATATTTTTTAACTGGTTTGAAAAGTAATAAATTTTCGTCCTTACCTGTATAAAGCTATTGTGTTAAAAAATATACATTTACGACGTTTTTTACGTAAAAAAGGTTTGTTGGTTAAAAGCGCTACGAGTTCGCGAAGTTCTCGAAATATTTGCAATCGAAATTATCAATACCTGTCGTCACTGACATAAATTAAACATGTTGACTAATAAGTTATTAGACTGAAATCATAAATTTGAAATGTTTTTGTGCCAAAAGTTCAACAGAAACTCTTATCACATTTTTCGAAAAAAAATTTATGATTAATTTAAAAAAAATAAAAAGTTCACAAATTTATAATTTCAGTCA